AAACAAATAATTATCAACAAAAAATAAAAGAAAATATAAACAAAGAATTACTATAGAAATATAATAAATGTGCACTCTATCATAATAAATAATCGAAAGTAATCAAAAATCAACACATATTATAACAAGAGATTATTAGCCATAGTCGATATTGACAAACAATGAATCTCTCAATCTAGCGCGCTCCCTCACTCCCACTTCTCAATTTCACTCTCACTCTCTCTAAATCTCTGCTCATCAATCAATCGCTGTTCTCTCTTCTTCTTTTCCTCTCAGTGTGTCTCTCGAATCTTGCATGTTGCCGCCGCGTGGTTCATCTTTCTACCGTCTCTTCATCTTGCTCATTCTCTCTCTCTCTCATTGATGAAGCGAAAGGGGCTCAACACAAGCACGCTGCGCAGGCGGGCTGGTCAGGGTCCCTAGAGTCGCCTTCGACGACGATCCTCCGGAGGCATTCCTTTCCCTTCCGTGTCCTCAGGGATACACATAGGAATATAAATAGCGAAAGAAATAGCGAGCTGATTGCCCTGTTTTACAACTGCATAATAATAATCATATAAATGATTATCTTGGTAATGGAAGTTGCAATGATTTCAGTAGTGATAATGACAATAATAATGGTGAGGATGATAAAGTAAGTAACGAAAGTGATGGAATTAATTACACTCAATGACAATTGGGATGTTATATAATAAACGTAACAGTAAGAATTAAAGCCCACAAAAATAGATTTTAAATATTGTTATAACATCAGCAACAGATCGAGAGAATGAAAGACAGAGAGAGAAAGGGGGGGGGGGAGAAGTGAAAAGAAAAAGAGATGCAGAGAAAGAGGAAATAAAAAGAGAAACACTCCCAAAAACAGATTAATTTTGATGGAAAGGACACAATGATACTGGAAATAAAAGTGAAACACAATATCTATACCCAAAGGAAACAATAAAATCTAGTCCATATAAGTTTCTTCTTCAACAACATATACTATTCATCGTAAGCGAAGAGGGAGACGCACATACACACATGTAGGGTAAGAGAAAGCTGGAGAAAAAGAAAGAAGTGCGGAGAGAGAGAGGCGACAGGCAGAGAAAGAGAAATATAGAAACAGATAAAGAAAACGACAAGATGACATATGCATATATTTATATATAGAGGGAGAAAGGTGGAGAGTTTGAGAGAGGTAGACACATAAAGACTTTCATTTTCTTCTGAAAAACAATGATGTTTATGAACAAAATGTTTCTCATCAATGGAAATGCTATCGTCTAATCTACGTACACTACAGTAACTGCATTGAATTTCACTCCAAGGAAATGACACACGAATGATAGAAAACGAACGATTGTCGCTTGTCAATCAACTACACAGGGATCTTTAACGCTAAGTAGGCCTAATCCTTATGAATGTTCTTATTGCCAATAAAATACATTACAACCTATATAATCATGAAGTATATAAACAATTATATTCATCATGAACAAGAGGAAATCATTTCTCGACTATATTCTGGAAGTATTCTTTTCACATCCCGTATCCTCAGCGTATGTACATATGTGTTTTTATCTCTATATATACACACATGCATATGTGTGTGTGTGTGTGTATGTGTGCGTGCGTGTGCGAGGTGAGAAAGAGAGAGAGAGAGAGCGAGAGAGGTGAAGATGGATAGAAAAAGGAAAGAGGGAAAGAGATTGTCAAACAAACATACAAATTCATTTTAGTGTGATGATGATGTGGAAGAGTGATGTTGACAATACGAATAGCACTCCTGCTATGTAGGAAAAAATAATAGTAGTAGAAATAGTAGTAGTAATAATAATAATAAGATAATAATGGTAGTGATGATGATATGCATAACGATAGTAGTATTGTAATGATGAAATCAATTATACTAATGTTGGCAATTTGGATGCTCTATGGTGAACGTAATTGTAATGATAATGATGATAATTACGATGGCGTGACAATAATGAAACGGTAACGATGATTGTTAAATATGTTAGTTACCCCTTGATGCTCAGAACATTACGTTTTCTGTGTTTACCCTCAGTTCCTTTGTTTTTATTTCTTCGTTATAGAATATCTATATTTTTGTTGAGTAGAATACATATTTTTCTGAATTTGAATTAGAGAAATACTATATTTTAATGTAGTTTTATATCAGAGAAAAGGTACTTATTTTCCACATATATTTTTATGTATGAATACTCGTTGCAAGGCCACTACACTGCCAGGTCAGCACTGTTTCAGTCAACAACCCCCAGCCCTTTGATCCTGCTTCTACATCATGTTTTGTTACCAAGTGTGGGTCTCGTGAGGCCGTTTCCCATATTTTTGGTGCCCAGACCCGGGAAGCTTTAGATATAGAGTCGTCGCCCGGACAAGTAAGGTAACAAACATGGCAGAGTCACTTGAAGCATTGAAGAGGAAAAGGGCTGCATCAAGAGGTTGGTTGACAAGATGTACAGCCCAGGAGGTTTTAAATGATAACAACAGTAATTTGAGAAGAAGATCAAGTTTGCTGAATTTGATAAGAGGCTAATATTGTTGGATGAGGCGCAGACAGCTGTTGAAGTAGAACTTGTTAATCCTGATGATTTAGATGCAGACCTTGAAAGCAAGTAATTTTCGCAAAGCTGCAACAAATGTTAGATTTGAGGTCACCATGCGAATGAAGAGAGCTAATGATGGCAGTGACAGTGACAAAGGCTCTGTCTCCAGTATGAGCACCTCAGATGCAAAGCTGCCAAAGCTAGAGCTTCCCAAATATGATGGTGATCTGACCCAATGGCAGTCATTTTGGGATAGATTTACAGCCTCAATAGACAGGACTGACATACCTGTTATTACTAAGTTCACTTATTTACAATCAGTGTTACAAGGAAAAGCATTGTCTGCCATCCGAGGAGTAACACTCACTGTTCCAAATTACAAGGTTGCATGTGATATATTGAAGAACAGATTTGGCCGACCTCAAATAATCATAAATGCACATATTCATGCACTAATGAATATCTCTGTAGCTCCTAAAATAAGAGGAGCAAATTATGTTGAATCGCTGTGGAATCTTCTAGACCAGCTCCATTGGCATGTAAGAAGTTTGGAGAGCTTTGGCATTAATAATAAACAATTTGGCGTGGTGTTAACTCCATTGGTCTTGGGTCGTCTGCCTCAAGAGATAAGATTGGAATGGTCAAGGGAATCTACAAATCATGAAGGTGACCTGGAATGGCTGCTGACGTTCCTGCAGAAGGAGATAAGCCGTCGAGAGAGATCTGAAACTTTCCCGGACGTTGGGATGGGGAAGCCTGAACGACGATTTGTGGACTCGGAGAAAAGAAGAGTGGCTTCTGCATCGGCTCTTCACACCTCATCTGAAGTAGGATCTTCTTATTGTGCTTTCTGCAGCAAGAAACACAAGTCTGAGAAGTGCTGGGATATCCTGAAGCTCCCTTTGAAGGAACGTGAAGAAAAAATCAAAGCTGGTTTGTGTTTCAAGTGTTTATTTGTCAAAGCAAGTGTTCTAAGTGTAATGGCAATCATAATTTTCTTCTGTGTAGATCAAAGGGCGCAGGAAGCACAGAAAAGGCTATGGAAAAAAGTGTGAGTGATCAGAAGGTTAGTGATATTGTAGAACCTTCTGAAAATTGCAGTCCCCAAGTGAATCATGTTGGTGTGACTCTTAGCAAGTGTAATGTGTTGACGAAGACTAGCTGTGTGCTACAGACTGCTAGAGTTAAAGTGTTTGGCGAGTCAGGTGCTTGTTGTGAAGCCACCTTGTTGTTTGATACAGGCTCTGATAGATCTTACGTGTCCAGTAATCTTGTGAAGAAAGTTAAGCCCAAGTGGGTGAGCTCAGAACCTGTGTCATATGCTGCTTTTGGAGGTAGTAAGTCTCCTCCAGGTAAACAGAGTAATATTTTTGACTTGCAATTAGTAGGTTTACATGGTGCAAAACATTTAATGGCTTTAGAGATTCCAAAGGTTTGTGCACCATTGACTAGACCCTGTATTCCTAGTAATTTGGTTGATGCATTTTCTGATTTTTCAACTTGCTGATGATTACAAGAATAATAGTCACCTGAATATAGACATACTTGTAGGTTTGGATGCTTATTGGGGATTTATGGATCCTGAAATTAAGCCACATCAGAGTAATGGATTAGTAGCCCAAAAGTCTGTATTTGGTTGGGTGTTATCTGGTTCATGGAAGGTTCCTACTATCAGCAACTGTGAGTCTACACAAATGTTGTGTATAGGAAATGTGACAGATTCTGATTTACGTGAGTTTTGGGATTTAGAATCTGTTGGCATAACTCAAAAGGAAGCTGTTCCTAGCCCATTTACCTCAGACCCTGTTTTGAAGCAATTTTGTGAAAATGTTAAGTTTGAAGAGGGACGCTATGAAGTAGGCTTACCTTGGAAGTCGGATGACTGCAAGAAGAATCTTATGAATAATGAGGGAATTGCTAGGAAAAGGTTGCAAGGATTAGGGCGTAAGTTAGATAAGGACCCAGAGCTTCAGAAACAATATTCTAACGTGTTTACTGATTATGAACAAGAGGGAATAAATTGAAGAAGTCCCTTCAAGTGAAGTTGTAAGTTCTCAGCCTACATATTATATGCCTCATCGTCCAGTTGTCAAAGAGAGTAGTTCTTCAACTAAGGTCAGACCAGTTTTTGATGCTTCTGCAACTAGTTATAATGGCACTTCTTTAAATGATTGTCTTGAGTCTGGTCCTTCACTTAACGCTGATCTTGTGAAAGTATTGGTTCGTTTCAGAAAGTGGAAGGTTGCATTGACTGCTGATATTACAAAGGCATTCTTGCAGATTTGTGTTCGGCCAGAAGACCGAGATGTTCATCGCTTTTTGTGGAAATGCAAAGACTCCATTAGAATGATGAGGTTTGTTCGTGTTCCCTTTGGTAATACAAGTAGCCCTTTTTGCTAAATGCCACCATTAAATACCACTTACAGTCTTATCCTGATACTGAAGTAGTAAAAGAGTTAAAGGAAAACCTTTACGTAGATGATTGGCTGTCAGGGGGCGGACACTGCTGAGGAAGCTTGTGAGAAGTTTAAAGAAGCTCAAAGTATTTTGGCTGAAGCTGGGTTCCCTCTTTCTAAATGGCACTCAAATTGTAAATTGTTTGCCACAAAGTTTAATGATAAAATTGATCATGGTGATGAACATGAATCCACAAAGGTTTTAGGTATGAAGTGGTTATCCTTGTCAGATCAGTTTGTTTTTAAAGGTATTGATTTAGACCTGGAGACACATTTGGTGTCAACCAAAAGAGCAATTCTTAGTCTCATAGCCAGGCTTTTTGACCCACTTGGTTTGATTAGTCCCTTTGTCATGTATGCTAAAATCCTCTTTCAAGACATATGGAGACTTGGGCTTGATTGGGATGAGTTACTTCCTAAAGAGGTGCAAAATAAGTTTCAGAATTGGGTTAAGAGCATTGCTGCTCTAAAATATTGGAAGATTAATCGTTGCTATTTCCCAGAAATGTCCTGGAAAGAGTTGTCTGGTGTAGAACTCCATGCCTTTGGTGATGCTTCAGAGAAAGGGTATGGAGCTTGCGTGTACTTGAGAGTTCCTCTTGTGGATGGAACATACCAGGTGTCATTAGTGGTAGCAAGGTCAAGGGTAGCACCTATAAAGAGGGTCACTTTACCTCGACTAGAATTGCTTGGTGCTTTACTTTGTGCTAGACTCTTAGATTTTGTGAAGTCTGCCCTCTGTCTCGATAAGACTGTGACTTATTGTTGTTGGACAGACTCAAAGGTTGCTCTTGCATGGATAAGGGTAATCCTTGTAGATGGAAGGTGTTTTGTGTCAAATAGAGTTGAAATTCAGAGTCTTACCTCCCCATGCCACTGGTACCATTGTCCAGGTAAAGAAAATCCTGTTGATCTTGTGTCTAGAGGGGAGTTAGCCGAACCCCTTGTTAATTCTACTTTATGGATAAATGGCCCTTCTTGGTTGTCTGAACCTTTAACTCTAAGTGATAAAGGAGAAACAGTAGAGTTACCTGTTGAAGAAAGTTGCAGTAAAGGAAATATTTCTTGTGTATCTGTAAACTCTCCTAACATATTTGAGTTTGAGAGATGGAGTAACTTCAATAAGGCACGTTGTGTGGTGGCTTGGGTTATGAGATTTATTAATAATGTCCGACCTCATTCTGTGAAGATGTCAGGTCCCTTGTCTCCTGCTGAGTTAGCAGTGGCCAAGACCAAATTGTTCTACTGTGTACAGAGAGAGAATTTTGTTCAGGAAATTGCAGACTTGAAAAGGGGTAAATCTCTTCAAAGGGTTCTCCTTTGTGTAGTTTAGATCCTTTTGTAGATGATGAAGGCCTATTGAGAATTAAGGGACGTTTGGAGAATGCTGATTTAAGTTTTGAAAGTAAACATCCTGTTATTATTCCTTCAGGTCATGTTGCTAAGCTCTTGGTTCAATTTCAGCATATTTTTCTGAAGCATGCTGGAGTAGGGACCATTGTGTCTACTTTAAGAGGCAGCTACTGGATTTTGGGAGTCAGGAGAATTGCTAAAACTGTTTGTAGAATGTGTGTTAAGTGTAAGAGGTATGATTCTAGGGCTTGTAGTCAGCCTGCTGCACCTACCAGGATTAAGAGTTAAGATTGCTCCTCCCTTCACTGTGACAGGTCTTGATTATGCTGGTCCTCTCTTTTGTATTGATTTGCCGTCAAAGAAATTGTACATTTTGTTGTTTACTTGTGCAGTAGTAAGAGCAGTGCACCTAGAACTAACTGATTCATTATCTCTTTCTGATTGCATGCTTGCAATACGTAGATTTGCAGCACGAAGAGGTCTTCCTTCTGTTTTTTACTCAGATAATGCCAAAACATTTGTGAGTGCAGCTCGTCAACTTCAGCAAGAATATGGACCATTGTCTCCTCAATGGAAATTCATTGTTCCCCGTTCTCCATGGTGGGGAGGTTGGTGGGAGCGTTTGATTAGGTCTGTTAAGTCAGCTTTGAGGAAGACAATAGGGGTTAAATGTTTGTCAAAAATTGAGTTAGAGACCATTCAAGAAATTGAGGCTTGTGTGAATTCTAGACCCTTAACATATGTTGGAGATGAACCTGATGTTTCTAATCCTTTGACTCCCTCACAATTTCTCATTGGACGTAATGCTGGACTTCAACTCGAGGTTAATGATCAACCTTCATGTATCACCGGAAAGGATTTGATTATCCGAGAAAGTATTCGCCAGCAACAACTTGATAAGTTTTGGAAATTATGGAGTAATGATTATCTAAGAAACTTGCCACCTGTTGTGAAGGGATTTGTGCAAAAATGTAATGTAAAGAAAGGTGCTATTGTCCTTGTCAGAGAAGACTTTGTTCCTAGGCTAAAATGGCCATTAGGTGTTGTAACAGAAGTATTCCCAGGTAATGATAATATCATTAGGAGTGTCATGGTAAAAACTGACAAAGGAGTATTTAAAAGACCAGTGCAGAAGTTGCATGATCTTGAAATGTATAGTGATCTTTATGAAGATTCTGATGAAGATTTGAGAGAATCTATCTCAGGGGAAATTGTTAAATCATCAGTTCCTGGAAACAATGAAAATAGTGCCTCTGAACCTTGTAAAGAGAGTTGTTTAAACCCTACTTCCTTTAGTCAGCGGGGTCGTGCCATAAAACCCCCAAATAAACTTGACTTGTAATAATATGCTGTAATTAGTTTAGTTGTTCTTATTTCTTAAGGTTGAAATTAAGATAAGTTTGTGAGTCTTATAGTATAAATGAGTTTACTGAAGCAATTTCCAAGGAGAAATCTGTCCTACTACTATTTCTCAGGATTTTATTACCTCATTTAAGTACATTTAGTCTATGATAGGAGTAAGTACTCCTATGGTGGGGAGTATGTTAAATATGTTAGTTACCCCTAATGCTCAGAACATTACGTTTTCTGTGTTTACCCTCAGTTCCTTTGTTTTTATTTCTTCGTTATAGAATATCTATATTTTTGTTGAGTAGAATACATATTTTTCTGAATTTGAATTAGAGAAATACTATATTTTAATGTAGTTTTATATCAGAGAAAAGGTACTTATTTTCCACATATATTTTTATGTATGAATACTCGTTGCAATAAAGGCCACTACGTGGCACTGCCAGGTCAGCACTGTTTCAGTCAACAACCCCCAGCCCTTTGATCCTGCTTCTACATCATGTTTTGTTGCCAAGTGTGGGTCTCGTGAGGCCGTTTCCCACAATTATTATCATCATTATTGTCATTATCCTTATGATTATCATCATTATAGTCATTATAGTCATGATTATCATTAACATCATTATGATTATTACAGTTATATATTATTATTTTGCTAATTATTACTGTCATTTCCATCATTATAACTATTTTTATATGATAATAACAATAATGATAATTTAAGAAATAATAATGAGAATAATACTCATATTTAATACATATTGTATATATATTTCTATTGTCATTATTAGTATAAAAATTATTAGAATAGAGTTAATTCTTGCTATTATTCCAGTAATTATCAAAGATATCCTTATTATTATAATTTTATTATTATTATCATCATTATTATTGTCTTATCATTATAATTATCATTATTGTTAATAATAAAGGCATTATCATAAAAAATCATCATAAATACCAGATTTAATGTTCAAATCATCATTATTATCATTGAAAAGCGAAAAAAGTGGGTTTTTTTACCTTTTTCTCAAAAGGCTGTAATACGCTAGATTTTGCCGTTTTTTCGACTTTGGAGATTTTATTAGTTTTAGCCTTTATTTCATCATAAATGGACTCTATGGTTATTATTATCATCATTATCATCATTACTGTCATTATTCTTATGATTATCATCATTATAGTCATTATTGTCATGATTTATCATTATTATAATCATTATATCAGTTATAATGATTATTATGCTAATTATTAATCATTTTATCCTCATAACGATTTATAATGATAATAAAACAAAATTATAATTTTAGAAATAATAATACTTATTACAATAACAATAATAGTGATATTAATATTATTTCTATTGTCATTATTATTATGAAAATTATTAGAATAGAGTTCATTATTGCTATTATTGCAGTAATTATCATAATTATCATTGTAAATATCATTTTATTATTATTATTCTCATCATTATTATTGTCATTATTATCATCATTATTGTTAATAAGAAAGGAAATATCATGAAAATCATCACGTTAAAATAATCATAATTATCATTTAAAAGCGAAAAAGTTTTTTTTTCGACCTTTCTGTCAAAAGGCTGTAATACGGTTGATTTTGCCGTTTTTTCGACTTATGGGATTTTATTAATTTTAGCCTTTATTTCATTATAAATGGACTCACATTATCGTCCTTTTTGTCATTATTATTATGATTATCATCATTATAGTCATTATCGTCATGATTATCATTATTATCATTGTCATTATTGCAGTTATAATGATTATTATTTAATTATTACTGTAAATTTCATCATTATAACTATTTTTATAATGATAAAAACAATAATGATATTTTTAGAATTAATAATGACAATAATACTCATTATAATAACAATAATAAATATATAATTTTTATTGTCATTATTAGTTTGAAAATTATTAGAATAGAGTTCATTATTGCTATTATTGCAGTAATTATCAAAATTATCATTATAATTATCATTTTATTATTTGTCATCATAATTATTGTCATTATCATCATAATTATCATCATTATCATTAATAATAAAGGAATTATCATGAAAAATCATCATCATTACCTGAGTTAATGTTAAAATCATCATAATTATCTTTTAAAAGGATTTTTTTTTAACCTTTTCTCTCAAAAGGCTGTAATACGCTAGATTTTGCCGTTTTTTCGACTTCTGGGATTTTATTAGTTTTAGCTTTATTTCAT